CTCCAGCCTGCTCTGTGGAGTGCTGAGAGGAGCTCTTGAAATGGTGAAGAGCATGTTTGTGTGAGATGAATTGATGATCTGTTAACCCTCAATTACTATTCACACTAAGGTTATTTTTCTACTGCTGCAGGTTCAAATGGCAGTGGATGTGCGATTCGCTCAGGACACACTAAGAGGTGACAATGTGACAGAAATTCGCATGAAGTTCATCAAAAGGATCGAGGAGAACCTGCCAGCTGGAGACGAATGAGGCTGAAAGACACCTTTAATTTAAGAGACTTTTTTTATGTTGGATTGGGAACCAAAAACTTCCGTTTTGGTCAAGAAGACCAACCAGTCCACTAACATTCTAAGTATTGCAATGAGAGTTCATCGTCGAGAAGATTTCTCTCAATGTGTCACCAAGGTTGGCATGTTCTTTGCACCTGGTCCATGTTTTTTATTTCAGGCAAATATTTTCTCAAGTCTCTTTTTGTATGACAGTTTGTCTGTAGTGTATTTTTTGTTATTCTTTTTGCCTTTAACTCATACATACGGCAAAGAAGGTTTAATTTATTTAGTCAAGTATCATAATGAGATTAAATAAGTCATCAACTACCAACAACCATGGCCAATCCCCTTATTTATCGTTCTTCTACTCAATAGGCCTTTGACACAAACTAATATTTACTCAAAGTTGCAATAAAGCGCTTATTTGAGCAGACCATATCACACTGCTGTTTTAATGTCTATAATGCTTGTATCGAAAACAACTTTAGATGGCTAATCTAAAACCAACATTTGAAGAAAGGGACCCATGTTCGCCAAGAACAGAACCGTAGTTTTGTGAGACGCATATGTTTTGTAGAGGGCCATTGGTGTTAAGGGGAGTCTGGGAGGGGTCTAGGTATGTAGATAATGGGACCTGTGTGAGCCGAGCCTGTGGCAGGTCCCTCCACACGTATGTAATGAAGTGTCACAGCAGCCCCCATCGCCGTCTTCTTGTCGTGTATTGGCCTTGCATCGTGAGACTGTTATTCCTACAGCGTGGCACCACGATGTGGTTAGAGTCAAACAACAATAACAAGGGCCTAATTCGTCTCAGATGTTTACTCAAGCAACGTGGAAGCAATCAGGGCCTGGAGGTTCACTGGTGCGTGTGCAGGACAGGGCTGTTTTGGGAGCCAGTGCGTTTTAATGGTGTAGCCGAGGGG